AATGAACAAGCCACATCCGAATGAACGCGGGGGGCCGTTTAAACGCACAAAATTAACGTGGGGATGCAGGTGCTCTTATGAAAATCCAACATACTTATTTGGAAAATAAAGTTAGACATTTATTTGTATCTTGGTGTATTTTAAGTCGAAACTCTCATTTCATATAAAAATGTATTTACTACAAATCCAACATAATCATTGACGAGCTTGTAGTTTAAGTCGAAATGCTCATTTCATATAATAATGTATTTACTATAAATATAAATATCGATAGGTGTACCATCAAGTATTTAAAAACTTAGAATTCGTATCACCCTCGAACTTTTTTTTTTAAAGAAAAATAATATTGTAGGTATTTATAATTTAACTTCAACATCTATAAGTTATGGAAAAATAAGTTTTTGGTAGAAAAGTTAATTTAAATTGAACTTTTGCAGTACATTGCATAACATTTTTTTATGAGAGTTTACTAAATGGACATATTTTAAGAAAAAAAAAATATAAAGTTAAAATATGTGTTTACACAAAAAAAAAAATCACTTAAAAAAACATAACAATCCAACTAATACTTGGTTTTTATATCGCTAAATCGATTTACAATTAAGTGATCGAAAGAGTAAATCATTAAAAATGTTTTCAAAAACTATCTAGGAATGAAAAATATAATAATATTTAGTACATTTTTCCCTAAATAAATATTATTTTAAATTAAAGCAACACACTCAATTAAGGATGTTCGGCCTCGAATTCAAGGAACGATTGAGTCACACACGAAAAGCAAAGAAAAAAACTTAAACACTCTACTCGCGATTTGGGATTTGAATTGAACAAAAAGTAACAACTTTAAACTAGACTGAAAGCAAGATTCGAAATTTAAAGCAAACAAGACCTCACATTGCAAGAAAAGAGAAAATAGAGAGAAAAATAACAAGTACCCTAAGACCCGAGATGGAATGAAGACACTCATAGGTTCGGGAACATAGAATCAAACAATAGCCACTTGCGAATCAACCAATCGATCTCTCAATCAATTCTCTCTCACACAATCAACAATAAGTCACTCGCGAATCAACTACTCAAGCACTCAATCAATTTCCGTCATGCAATCAACAACAAAATTACATAATCCCTAGCCTACGAAGATGATAGCATAATCGACTCATGAAAGCTCATATCTTTATCCCAGAAAAAGTATAAAATCCAGGTGGAGGTGGATTGTTCAAGCTATGTAGAGAGGAAGCTTGGAAAACCCAACCAGAGGGAATCTCACACATCATCATGAATGCTTTTTATTTCAGGTTCTTTGGCAAAGAAAAAGGATTAGCTCGGTGTAGAACTACGGCGCTAGAAGTATGTTATATGTTAGGGTTACCAGGTTGATCGATGTACTGTTACACAAGCTTGGCTAGCCCTTAGCTCTGAGCTAGAGATGGGTACAACTTCAGGTATTCCTTCGGGTAGGTCAAATGGATGAGTATCTATAAGTTTTGTTAAAGTATCTCTGGGTATGTCCCTGGCAGGTTCGTCGATGAGGTGTAAGGTATATCTTAGCGGTTGAGCTCTATTAGAGGCAGGGATGGTAGCTAAAGATTGCTCGGAAGCGGAGGAGCTCGACCTATGAAGGGATTGGAAGGAAGGCGAGGAGACCACTAATGGGTTAGGAGACTTAAACTATGTATGTATGTTTATATAGTACATGTTATCATGAGATATATATATATATATAGATATATATATATTATTAATACTTTAATATACAAATTTTATATACAAAATATTTAATTACGTTACTTTTATGTATAGTTATATGACAAAAATACTTAATATAAAATTTTAAAAAATTTAAAATCAATTATCCGGTTCAACAATTGACCCGGTGACCCGACGGTTGAACCGGTGACCTGCCCGGGTCGATTACCGGGCCGGATTTAAAAACTATGATTCGGAGTAAAATATCTACCTTCTAGAAAATATTGCAAAAGACAGACAAATATTTCACATACCAAAATAAGTAGCTAGTTTTTTACTCAATTAGGTGTCTTAATACCACTTTACTGCTATTCAACAAAAGTGCTTCAATCTCAGTCAACTCCACAATCTTCAAGAAAAAAACAAAATTACTCATTGCAGAAGAAACTTTAATAAAAGATCAAAAGCCATTGGCCACTAGTTTCCATATTGGTCAGCAACAAAACCTTTGAAATTCAAAATTGTAGTGCATCCACACAATTTTTAAACCTGCACCAGTTTTGAAGATGGCCTCATACAGAAAAGCCAGCTTAGTTCAACATCAGTGTGCAAATCATACTAAACAAACAGCAGCCGATATTAGAAGAATCAATGAATTGAATGATATAAGCCGATCGAATTTTTGTACAATAGTTCCTAACGTAACATCTCCTGCTTTCTGTATTATCGGACGACCTCACAGTTTCTCATTTCAATCCCACCAAAACAATGGAATAAACGAAAAACGAAATAAAATGACCCGGCACAATCAACTAAACAAATAGCAGCCGATATCACCGTCCGAACTTTGAGTCTCGATACTTAGCGTTAATTCTTCACCGATACACAATTCTAGCCCACACGACCCCAAGGGTTCTCCCACTAATATCTCTCTCGGCGAATATTGGCATACGAAAGCTTCCAAAGCTTCTTTCATCCAAGAATGAGAGCATATTTCTCTAGCCTCGTTAACCGTCATCTACACGGAGAATAAATTATATACCTCATCACTACTTAAAATACACAAACACACAATAAATCGACATTGCGTTATAGGAATGTTGTGAAAAAAAAAAGTTTTTCGCGTACCCAAACTCGCCTACGAACGTCTTTCTCTGGCCAAACGTCTAATTCCTCGGTGACCAACATAGCGAACATGGACCCCTCGTGAAATTTTTCTTGGCTTTTGCTCTTGAAAATCCATTCGCCTAGTTTTGCCTGCACGAAAAATGGGATTTTTTTTCTTTAGAGAAAAAGATCGAATCTTTAGCATTTGGGTCGTGTCATTGTTCGTGACAAAAGATCGAATCTTTAGCATTTGGGTCGTCATTGTTCGTCAAAAGAATACTAACCCCGATCGAGCCGGTAACACCGGCTTCCTCTAAAGTTTCACGTAAAGCGGCTAATTCGATATCCTCGTCGAGTTCCCAACCGCCCTGATGGATCAAAATTACACACACACAAAAAAANNCCAAAAAAAAAAAAAGATAAAGAGTTACTACAATTTTTCACATAAATCAACATTTTTTTTTTCATTTTTGTTGATAATTTTCAAATAGATTGGATATGTAGGGTGGCAGAGGTGTTTACCTTAGGGAACATCATTTTTGAACTCTTTTGGGAGCTGATTAAAAGGACCTCCAACTCTTCAATTAATTGATTACTCCCTGTGCTTGATTTGTTGGAATTTCTCATTCTGTATGGGATACATCTGCCCCAAAACAATTGAAAATTCCAAATTAATAATTATCTCAAAAAAAAAAAAAATTAAAAATCTCAATATTAATTTTCCCAATATTGCCTATCAAAAAAATTAATTTAAAAAAAAAAGATTTTCCCATTTCACAGCAATTAAACAAATTAAATTTTAAATAAGAACAAATAACAGAACAAGAAAATGAAAAAAAAAAATAAAAAAAATAAAAAAAAAATTTGCATACCCAACAACTTGACGAAACCCTTGATTGTAACGCTGCAAATGTCTGCCCGAACGAGAAGGCGACGACGCCAGCTGCTTGATTTCCAGTGTCATTCTTATAATAATTTTAAATAAAAATCAAATCTTTCCCCAAAAAAAAAAAATAAAAAAAAAATGAACAATAACCCTGTATTTTATAGAAAGATAATAATATATTTTTGTTGCATACAAGCTAACAAATGGAATGGCTTTGTCCACCGCTTTATATAGGGACTTATTAATATGAGGCCTAATGATTGGCTGTATTATATATTTTTTAAATTTTTTTTTTTCATAATATCTTGTGTGATAAAATAATTTTCTCTCTAAGTAAGATTTAATTTAATTTATAATAATATTATTTTTTATGGTTGAATTTCCACATAGTTGGGTTGAGACTTGTGTGTGTTGTTGTCGTGTAACGCGTCTGCAAAGTCGCTTTCCATGTTGCAAGGAAGGTAAGGGGCATCGCGCGTTATTTAAAAATTATACGCAGGATGAAAAGGGCCGTGTCTAAGGGTGCAAGTTGCATGTGGACTCATTGTTGATAAAAAATTCTTTGGCCACTTGAACATTAGTGAGATTGTTATCTATCGAATTGGAACGATACCGATAAGATTAACATATGACCCTGCGCAAGGATGACACGTATAAATTGAGAATCAATTTGGTCCCCTATGCGGTCGTTATACTTTTTCTTTTCATGTGAAATTCTTTTGTCTCTAGACATGACCAACGGCTAGGGTCGGACCAGAGAGCCTGTTGACCATAGGTTTTTGGCTCAGAATCGGGTCCCTTCTTCGGCAGATGGTTTCGTACACAATTAAAGAATTCGTCAATCTGCCTATTAACTATCATTGAAATTTAAATTTGAATTTTAAAATTCTTAGCCGGAACAGATGCCCAAAACTGGCAGGCTGCAACAAATTCGATCGATCAATTCGAACTTTCGGGTCGTCTGGGCCGACTCATTGGCTCGGGTCTTTTTTTTTCCTAAAAAAACCAGTAAACATCCCCACATTTTTCACCTCAATTTCGCATGTTCTCATCTCCCTCCATTTTTCAGCTCCCTCACTATTCTAAAAGTTCGAGTAATTTATTAGAGTTCGATTGCTCATAGCAATCTTTAACCAATTATTTAATATCAAATATTAATCACATTTTGAGTTCATTTTCATAAATTAAGTTACGAATGTATCGAGTTCTTGTGGTCATGGGAGAGGTGCGGCGGCTAAACATGGCCAGGTGTCGGGCCCCGGCCCCGCCGGGTTGCCGGTCCTGGTTTCCTTGGACCGCGACCGGCCCGATAAGAACCAAGGGTCGGTTAGATGAACCGGCCCTGTACCGACGGGTCACAGGACCGCCGGTTCTGGGCCGGTCCTGCGGTTCGCAGGCTTTTTTTAATATATATGTATATATATTTATTTTTACTTGACATTAAAAATAAAATTAAAATATGTATTTGTAATTCGAGCAAGAACTCGAAGTATTAACATAAACCCGTTTGTATCCGTTTCCCGCATTATAAAACTCCATCAAGATTGTTTGTTTGTTAAAGCCATAGAAGAAGAGGTGAATGATAGGATGATATCTTGGGACCAAACGGTGTCGGATTACATCGATTTGGCTAATAGGTATCTTTACTTTCCGCAGCCTGTGTCGGTGTACGGGTTCTCAAGATGATGCCTTCGACCGACCAATGTTGCTGAAATCGGAGATACCTTTCCGCCAAATCAATATAATTCGGCACCGTCTAGTTCGAACATGACACCTTATCACTCACCTACTCTTCTTTGGCTTTCTCAAAACAAACAGTTTTGGTGATGTTCTAGAATGCTGAAAACGGATACAAACAGGTTTGTGTTAATACTTGATCGTTTTTACGAAGACTTAGTCCGAATAAGTTAATTTATCAGTATCTTGAGTTTCATCAACGTCATCATGCAATTCGACTCCGAGACTGTTAGTTTCATCAACGTCATCATGCAATCCGACTCCAATACACAGTCTCGAGTAATATCGTCGTTCTTTTTGCTAGTGGCCTAAAGCACGTTACTTAGTGGAAGTTGTCTATCTTATCATCTTTGGCGTACAATAGGTTTATACCATCATCACACGGTTCCATAAAGGCACATATTCTTTCATAGATCACTAGAACTCTTAGATAGTGATATGAAACTAATGTGAAGTATTGACGGCTCAACTGCAAGTTCATCATTACATCATTTAGCATTCCTTTCGTCGAAATTGAATCAGAATTCAGATGATAAGTAAGTATGTATAAATATTCTCTTGTTTGGGCTATTGCTGTCGTAATTTAGATTTCAAATCATAATATATAATAAAGAATATTGACGTGACATCACAACCGTACATGTCGTTAATGTTTCAACATCAACTTTGTAATAGCCCATTATGTTATTAATGTAAATTACGTGTTAGTTCCGAAATATTTATATTATCAATCAGTATCGTTCGGAACTAATTATTCAAGTCAAGAATGTTCGAATTAATTTTCGAATTCATGTTTATGCTCGAGATAATTTCTAAGTATTTAATTTCATGTGTTATATGTTAATCCATGTCTAATCGCTCGATAAATAATTACCGAGCTTAATCATTTAAGCATGTGCGCCCTAATTGATAAGCACGTTCATTGTGCTTGTTAATGCTTAGCACTTGAGTTAATAGCCAAGTAATCATGCTCATTGCATGTCATTAGCCGAGCATAGTTAGCCTAACACTTCACGCCCAATTAGCTTAACTTGATCAAGCTTAACATGCCTAAAGCCGTGCTTAGAATCCTAGATTGCCGAGAGTTACTTTTTCCATTCTTCACGTGAAACATCATCATTTCACTTAGCATGTGGAAGCTTGAGGTTTACTTGGGAAAGATGACTAAGAAATGTGAAAGATGACTAAGCACATGAAGGCCACCTAAGGCCCTAGGCGCGCGGCCATTGGCCAATACATTTTCACCCTTCTTCACCATTTTCATCCGTCTATAAAATCAGAGTTTGGGGTGAAAATATAGCTTAATACTTAAGCTATATACTAAGCACAAGTTAAGATAGATTAAGATATTTTTCTTCACGCACGTGCGCAAGGGTCTGGTTGCAAGAAGCCACGCACAATTACTCTAGCGGTTGTGGAGGTAATCACATCCTAACCTTCTTTTAGTGAGATCATGTTAGTTTCATTATGTTCAAAACATGTCCAGCAATTCGTAAAAAGGCTAGGTTATGCTCGAATTATGCCATGTTAAACCATGCCGAGTGATGTCCGTTTTTATTCGGCAACTCTCGAGCGTTTGATGTTCCATTAGCCAGTATTGAGTATATGATGTTCAGTAAAGTGATAATTGTCAAGA